ACCGTTCACCCCATGCTCCCGCTGCTGAATGAAGGCGACTTCTGGGACATGTACTGCAACGGAGGCTCAAAGGGCTTGCAACAGGAGCGAATCTCTCTACTGGTGTTCCAAGCCATGCTCTTCTCGACAGCTAATGTCGGTCTAGTCTCCAAACAATGCTTCATCATATGTGCTAATTCCATGTCTAGTTCGTCTCTCGTCAATCGATCAAGGCCCTGGGGTACCCGACCATCCGCGCCGCCCGAGCATCCTTCTACCGACGAGCCAAGCTCCTCTACGACCTCGAAACCGAATCCTCACCCTTGTCCATAGCCCAGGCCGCTTTACTCCTCACGCACTGGTCCGCACCGGCCTCGCACAGCTTCCGAAAACCGAACACACAGTGGCTCGCGATCGCCATCCAGAACGCCAAGACGGCAGAGGCCCATCACTACGATGCTGCGCCCGCCCACATTCAGAACACGCTCAAGCGTTTGTGGTGGTGCTGCATCACCCGCGATAGGATCATGGGCCTCGGGATCCGCCGGCCTCTCCAAATCACACGCGCCCATTTCGATTTTGACAAGAACAGCATCCTCGGATACGCCGATCTTTCGGATGAGATTGAACGCTCGCGTGTCTACAACCCGGGGACGAAACGCTGTCTCGCAGAGATATTGGAGCAACTGGTTGAGCTTTGCGTCGTTCTGACAGATATCCTGATACTGGTGTTCCCCATCGATGACAGCCCTGGATGGGGCCGCGAACTAAAGGCCGAGGAGCAAGACAAGCTTCGCGAGTACAAACTCGACTTACGCCGGTGGTACAAGAGCGCCACGCTGCGATTCCCCATGTTTGGCGGTGGCTCAGTCGCCCGCATGAATGCAGGGGGCGGTGGCAAGGAGTTCCAGCACGATTCGGTTATCCTGTACACCAACCTTATGTACATGTATTACCAGTAAGTCGAAAGGCACTTTTTGGCCTCTCTTGAGCCCGCACTTAACACCACATCAGTTCGAGCCGTGTCGTTCTCAGTCACCACGAAGCCTTCACCTCGCCATCACAGCTGCCGCGCCCTCCTTTAGTTCGATCCCCTCCCGCGACCTGGCCGTCATTGGCGAGAACCGCCACGAGCTTCAGGACGCAGCTTCGGGCGTCACAGAGTGTCTGAAGGAGCTCATCCACCTCCGCCTCGCCCGTTGGCTGCCCATCAGCGCGGTAGCGTGTACGGCCCTGCCGCTGGTCCTCCATATTCTTGACGTCAAGCTCTCCTCCTCTGCACAAAGATCATCCGGGTCCTCAGCGATTGACCCAAATACGCAGTCAGCTCTGAAGCAGCACCGCCTGAACATTCTGATCGAAGCCATGAAGACGTATCAACCACAATACGACGGCGTGGACCTGGTCTCCGAGACGATCCGCCATATTGTCAACCTTGCGCAAATCGACCCGCCCGCCGACGGTGCAAACAACCAAGCAGACGGCTCGGCCATTTCCGACTGGACCGACATTCTCGCGTCCCAACCATCCTCCTACCTTCGCCTCGCACTTACCATGGACCTCGCCCTCTCCAAGGGCCGCCTGCCCGAAGATGGCGACTTCCCCGTCTCCCTGCGCGGCCTCTTCACAGGTGGCTTTAACGCGCTGCGCACCCTCATCGAGCAGAAGCGCAACGAGGCAGCCGCCGCCGCCGCCGCAGCAGCAGCAATGGCTCAGAATCATCTCTTCTCCCACGCGAGCGCCCTCCACGCCGTCGACTTTGACGCAGGCACTCTCCGCCCGTCCCTCTTCAATCTTCAGCCCGGCGTCGTGACAGCCGTTCACTCCGACGAGGATACATCGACGACATCGCCAGCTTCGGCGGGCGACCACTCGGTCGAGAGCACGACGGACGCGACGTCGCCCCACCAAGTCTACGATCTCGCCATGGACATTGACATGATGGGCGGCGGCAGCGATGGCATGCCCTCGGACGGCATTGCGGGTCTCGCGGCGGAGGTCATGGCTGCGTTCCCCCTGCACGGCGTGTCGCCCAGTTCCGGGGGCGACTCTGACGGCATGTACTTCGATGGCTCGGAGCAGCGGGGGGAGGCGGCTAAGTGGATGGATGGGGCGTGGGCGGATATGGCGGCGGGGGAGGAGGAGAGGGCGGATCGGGACACGGCCAGAGCTTTGCTTGAGGCGCTGAAGCAGGGCGAGGTTGGTGATGTAGTGCTGTGAGGGGTCCGCACTGACCATGCATGATACGATATGATGGTTTCTGGGATTCGACATGTGATTGGGGTCAGCTTCCTTGCGAGCTTGGGATAAATGTGCAAGGAACGGCTCTCGGTGCTACGGTTTAATGTATGATGAGTTGATCAGAGAATCGAGTCTGAAACCAATCATGGAAACTGTGCCTTCTTCACCCCTTCCGATTTGACGGTATCAGATTCTACCAACGGGATATATCGTTTGGAATGTGACTTCACTGAATCGAGGTGGAACTATCCCTCTGAGCCTGTGTGTTTGGGAATCAAAAGCGTATTCAGTACGAAGCTCCATTAGATTGAGAACGACCTTTCGATAGATCTTGGACAAATCTCAAAACTCCATCCTGCACCGTCTGAACCGTCCTGTTCAGAAGCGCGGTCGGTTCGCATGTGAGATGCTTCCAGACGCTCCTAGACTTGTCTGCAGATCCATAAGCAACGCCAGACGTGCGTGGTTTGCAGACATATCCCCCACGACAATCAAAGCCATCCTAAATCGCCACGTCCGTGATCCAAGTCTAAGCAAACACCCAACCTCATAAGGAAAGCCAATGACACACTTCCCCCCCCCGGAGAACCCATGGTCATCACTGCAGGTCAATCCCCCACTCACGCGCATCTGCTCTGCCGGAATCTGCATCGCGGCGCACGCACACTCGAACCCATACACGCCTCAGACTCGCGCGTCTGCGTAGTGATGGTCAACTCCGTGCCGGCCTGACCTGGCCTCCAGCCACCGTGAAGACCAGGGCGTCGAGCTCACGGTCGAAGCCATAGTTGACGTTCATGTGCGGACGGCACGCGTGGTTGAAGCGCGAAGCGACGAGGAAGAGACCATGGCCGGGCGCCTTGGTCGTGCAAGCGAAACTAGCCACGTCAGCCGGGGATGCTCCACCTCGTCCGCATGTCTTCTGCGCCGCGGTGTGAAAGATGGGGGCTTACTAGTTGGTCGTGAAGATGGCCTTGAGTCGGGTGTGGAGCGAGTCGTCGTGCGCTATGCGGCTGGGTTTGTGCATGGCGAGGTCGAGAACGAGTCCCTTGTCCGAAGCGCTCAGATTTGTGAAGTGTCGGATGAGGTCCCTGTCCACGTCGGTGGACCGGACAACGGCGCGTTCCATGAGGATCATGTCGCCAGGGCCCAGGTCTTGTACGGCAAAGGCGCCCATGCCGCCGAGCGGGGACTTGCGGATTTCGAAAAACTCGTTGCTGAAGAGGGGCTGGCCGGGCTTGATGTTGCCGGTGTGACGGGGGAGGCCGGCGAGGAGAATGCCATCACTTTCTTCTTCGCTTTCCTTTTCATCCGTGTCGCTAGAAGGGAGGTTTAGCAGACTGAGGCCGCTCGACTCACTGTCGAATAGGAGGGGAGCGGCTCGCTTCGAGACGACCTCGCTCGGCAAGGCTTTGAGCTGAGGGGCTCGGCCACGACGAGTAGTAGCGGTCTCGGGCTATGAAGATTAGTGGTAAGATTATGTCTCCCTGTAGGCAGTAGCCATGTCTCTTGAGGTACCTGGAGAGTATTCTGTGTGCCTAATATCTCGTTGATCTGGTCGTTCGTGTGCGTCATGCTTGAGAAAGGGTGGAGTAGAGCGTCGATACTGGCCGAGACTAATTTTGGCTGTGCCGTCTCTCGCCGGACCTTTTGCATGCTATAGATATCCATAGTGAACGCTTTGCTTTAGAGTGCTAAGAAAAATCAGAATGGTATCAGGCAGAGATTCGGCTAGATCGTTCGTGACTGAAGATGGGCGCTTCTGAAGTGCTAAAGTTGCCTTCTGACTTCCTCTGTTGGCGTATTCTGTAGAGGAAGCCAGCACAACAGCGGTTCCTTAATATGACATCCGTTATCCAAAGTGGTTAAGCTCACCAAAAGTGCTGAAGAGCCTGTCGATTTCTGCGCCTGGCATCCGGATCGACAACGTTGTCTCCCCATCATCCGTTCCCTACCGTCATGTTCGTCCGGTTCACTGTCGTCCTTGTCCGGTTTCGATAGTTTCCATATAAAATGTCGTGTAAATGAATACGTTTCATGTTTGGAAGTTTCATGTTTGCTGTAACGGTTGTCATTTATAGAGAGAATATCATAGTGAAAAGAGCTCCTTCCTACTTTTTGACAGCCAGCATAGAGGCGACAGCTCAGCCTGCTCCATCTATTGCGGGCTAGCAGCGATTGTAGCCTGCTGCTTCAGCGCTTGAATTGTGTCAAGAGCCACTATGATCATTCGCTCATGTCACTTCCGTGCTCAAGCCAGAGTTCCCCAGCATATCGGCGTCTCCTGTGTTACCAGCCAGCCTCTCCATTGTCCCTCGGCTGACCGAAGGCCATTTAGTACCTTGGATCGCTGTGACCCAGCTGCCGACTAAACCGGTGCGGCCAAGACCTCCTGGAATATCTGGTCTGGAGCAGTCCCGTCTTCGCTCAACCTCTTCCGACGCGTACTCTTCCGACGCGTAAAGGTATCGTAATTTTCATATGTCGACTCGCCGTCCATTTCGTGCAAGACCGTTCCCGCGGGTTGATACTGATACGCAGTTCCCGTAAGCCCCACCGATGACTGGTGGTAGTATGGCGATGACGGCATCCCGACGGCAGTCTGGAGAACTGCCGAAGCAGCAGTATGGAAGCTCACAAGACTGGAGCTCACCGATGCCGTTTCCGAAAACAAGTGTCCTGTGCAACATAAGCCAAGCTCTCTGAGGGCCGTCAGCTTTCTCGATCGACGTACCCTGTCTCGAACCCGCTCGACTGGATCTCTTGTGGCTGCCGCTTCTTCTACGCATCAACGACAAGCCCTGGGATCCCAGTGAAGTGCTGGCCATGCTGGCGACTCCCGGCAGAGACTCGCTCGCCTGCATGGTTTCGAGCCGCTGCAGCACGGCGGACACCTCGGCCTTCATCACCTGAAGATCGCTCTGCATCTGCCACGTCATACCCACGTGGGAAGACGTGTTGATGCTGATGGACCAGTCAGCAACGATGTCCTTGCTTCTTTCTGAATAGAAATGGTGCTCACAAGTTGGCGACCGACACAGCGACCGTCAGCGTCAGCTTTCGCGCCGCCAGCTTCGCCCTCAGCTCCTCAAAGTCCTTGTCCCGGAAAGACAGCCGAAGTCGCCGCCACGTGCTCATCTTGGCATCAGCCGAGGCCTCGCCGGATCCGTTCAAGTCCTTGTTCAACTGCTGGTTAAGCTCAGTGAAGACCTGGATGCAGTCCTCCAGCACGTCGGACAGCTCGTCGACCGTGCCCGGATGGAGCACGCCCTGCCTAGTGTCCTCGTGGTCGAGATAGCCTTGCAGGGTGCCGAGGACGGAGACGAAGCCCTTGAGATCGGCCGACAGCGCCTGCAGCGTCCGCGGCAGCCCGCGGACGGCGTCGATGCGGCGGCTGATACCGACGCTAAGGTTCGTAGCGAAGATGATGAGGCCGGCTACGCCGCTGATGGCTCCGATGGGTTCGGCCATTCCATTGCGACGCGGCCGTTGTAGTCTGCTGGGCAACGTCCCGCGCAGCAGCTCGAAGGTGGGAGAGACGCAAGCAGGATCGCATGAGCTGAAGGCGAAGTCGCGACGTTTCCACCACATTTCATTCGCCAGAAGCGAAGGATCATGCTGTCGAACCGTCCTCCTACCAATGGTATCGCGGCTCACGCCAAGCACCCATGCAGCCGACCCTGCATCGGGGCAGTCCGCAGTTGACCAGCCACCCGTTTACTCTCTTGATTGAATGGGCAAGCTGAGCGACAGTCACGAAAGGCTTCAAGGAGGCGCAGACTGCGAGCGACTGTGTTGTAAATCGGCACACCGCCGCATATTATCAAGTATCAATCGCTAAACTCCAAGCCTAACGCCGAAGATGCAATTACCCCCCAATCATGTCAGATCGCTCTTTGTGTCTTCCTCTGTATCTAGCCGTTCATCGGTCCTTCTCGCCATCTTATTACTTCCACCAGATCCTTTGGTAAAATCAATGAATATCCTCTCGCCAGCAGAGGCATTATGAACATCTCGTCGAGACCAGCATGGCCACGAGACCTGTGGGCGACAGTCGGTCCTATGCTCGGAATGCAAACACTGGTCAGGCTCGACTGTTTGTTTACAAGTACTGGCTTTCCCATCTGGAGCCCTTCATGTCCACAATGAATGTACTTGTCTCCGCCTCGCGACCGCCCGGCTTGGTGTGTGCCGACTCGACTTGACCGAGCTGAGACACCGATCGCTACATCGTGGACACTGTCGCGAACTCAACGTGTTGCCCTTGACCCAGACACACCGACATGAGCAAACCCACAGCTCGCGGCCCGTCTTCGTCGTGAGCTGGTCGCCCGTCCTGTGAAGATTCGTCTGCACGCCGCACTCGACGCAGAACCGCCTCAGATGCACCCGCCGTGACGGCTTTCGCGACGACGAGGCGTCTGTCGTCGTCCCGCGTAAAGTCCCCGGCAGCGTGGGTGAGCGAGGACCGACACGAGCAGAGACACAGGTCCCGGTCGCCCCGGACGCCTCCTGCGACCGCGGCATGCTGAACGCACTTGTCGGGCGCGCAGGCCCTGTACGTGCGCGGCTCCTGGCGATGAACGTCTGACACAGGCCAAACCTGTGGATGATGGGCCGTGGCCGGCTGGCTCGCTGTCAAGTGGCTCAGGGCCCCGGACGCGGTGGCAGAGGAAGCAGCCAAAGTTGCCCTGGGACTCGGCCTTGGGGTCCTCGCGGTCGTGGCTCGTGCCAGGAAAGTGCTGAGCGAAGTACCTTTCGGCCTGGAACACGGCGGCCACTTTATCCTCGACATCAGCTTTCCAGGGCTGGACGGAGTCGGCGAAGAACCGGCACACCATGGCCAGGTTGCAGGATGTCATATAATCGAGGTGCTCAAACAGGCAGTCTCTCACGGGTTCGGGTAGTCCCAGGAAGAACGTCATCCATCGTGAGGGTACGGCCGGGCCCATGTCTGGCTTGTGTGACAGCTGGCCTTTGCTGAGTTCGCGCCGATGCTGCGGAACACGGGACAGCGTTGCCACTGCCATCTTGAAGTTGGTGACGGGCGCTACAGGGTAGGCACGGGCCGAGTCGAATGGAGGAGCGGGAGCAGTTATGAGTACACCCTGCTCCGTCGGTTTGAGGCTGGCCAGATTCAGAGCAAGACAAAGTAGAGACCCCCGTGTAATAAAAGGTTGAATCGCTGAGAGGAAGTCCGACGTCAGAGTAGGATGTAGGTATGGGAAGTGCTGTGCAGAAAGAGAGCCAAATGCAATGGGCGGTGCGGATGAAAGGGAAAGAATGAAGTGCTCTGGTCTGTTATATTAACACGCTCGGCCTACCTTATGTCAGGAGCGACAATCATTAAAACCCGACATGTGAAGTGACCATAGTCAGGAGTAAGGGAACAGGGTCAATGCAAGGGGTGCGGTGCAGGTGCGTGGTCTGCATATCATCATGACCACGAGGCCCCTGTCAGGACGCACGCCGCCAACTGGCACCTAACATCATGTTGTGCAAGCCTCCTGCAGAAGCCATCGTGTCATTAGCCTCTCTCTCGTGTTGGTGAAGCGGCGCACCCTGCCTGCAAAGTCTGGGGACGGACCGAATCAGGGTTTATGCTGCACGACATGGCGTCTGAGTCGAAGCGGAGCATCATCTTGCTCGGCACCGGCTCGCTCATCCAGGCTGGTCCCTGCGTAAGACAATGGATAAATGGAGCTCGATAGCAGACGACGCGAGCCTCAGCCGCAGTTCATTGGGTATCGAGCTCTGAAAGTTGGTCGGCCAAAGCCCAGTCCAGGCGAGTGATGCCACCCTGCGGAAAGTCATCTCGGCGAATGTTAGGTAGCAATAGTAATCGATTGACTTCGCGATGGCGGGCGATCGCTCTGGCATGTCATCCGAGCAAGCAGGGTACCCGGTGACCGTAGCTCCAGCGGTGCTGGAGGCTTTCAGCAAGGACAATTGGTGGGCCATCTTTAGGCTGAATAAGGCTCTGGAGGCGACTGTTGGTGGTTCCTTTGGGAGGGCGTTTCGCAGGGTGACAACAGACTTGGCCATCAGGTCTCACGAGGCGAGTCGTTGGTTCTGGAAAGCTGATAGAAGTGAGCGAGCCATCCCTATCGAGATGAAAACGGGAGGTCACACAAACACGATGGGTCCCCTCATCAAGAGAGGAACACCGTGTCTTGGCCCGTCACCATGTCCCCTGCTCACCAAGGTACTTTGACAGTTTGCTCATCAGCAGCGAAGCGACGCCCAGGTGCGTCCAACGGAATCCGTCCTTGAGGTCAGAGCGTGGAGAGATACAATCTTACGCCGAGCTGCGGTATGGCGAATTGTTTCCTCCTTACAGGCCAGGTGGGGATCAACTTTGACGAAGGAGAAAATGCCCGATGCGACGACTCGACGACAGGGTGATGCAAGAAAGGAAGTGCCTTGGCAAGAAGGCCAGAGCAACTCGCATTGCATGCCATTCCCGACCCCAACGGTCGTCGCCAGGGGAGCTGCAGTGTTGTTGTCTCAGATCCTCATCTTGCCATTTTCCCCGGTGCTACCCTTCACAACATGGCTCACGACAGGGCGAGATCGACGGCCAGTGGCGACATCGAGCTGCAGGTAATTGTCAAATATGAGCATCGCCAGAGTCGTCTCTTGGCAATGGGGCAGCCACGATGGCCAACGGCCAGCTCGGCCCCAGGAAGCCGTCGGGAGCGAGCGGATATCTCCATAGGGGTGAGGTGAGCCTGGACCCCCTGTCGACAGGGCTGTAGATGCCCGAGGCCCGCCTGTCCGCAGGGCTGTAGCAGGGCTGTAGAGGCTCGCCATGGCCTGCGAGACGTTCTCTCCTTGCCAGGATCAGTCGACACGACGCGCCCGGGGAAGCAAGCCGATGAACTCTTTCGCCGAACCAACAAGTATACTCAGAATACATTGTGACGAAACCTGCATGAGAATGCAATCACATGATGCCATTTTCTTGCTGATCTTCCGGTCAACTACGCATCATGACGACCAAACACATATCGAGCGGTTAGCGGCCAGGTCCCTCCCCGAGCAGACAGGAATTGACAGTAGCCGACGTTACCATGGGCGAGCTGTGAGCGAGGCAGCGCCCGAAGCAGTGAGCGAGGTGAGTGTGAGCTGGGCCCAGTTTTTCCACGACAATCTTGGCTGCGTTGACGCGATGGTCCAAGTCCTTGAACTTGTGGGATTCAGTGAGCCAAGTGCCTTGCCCAGGTACTTTAATCTGGCTGTTGTGATCAATGGGTGAATTTCGGCATAGGATATGCCTACCGGTCCATGTCACATACTGTGTCGTTATCGTTGCTATGGCTGTGAATATGGTGAGTGAAATGGTTGACGCCCTTTGATGCCATATTTGAGAGGCTCGCATTCGACCAGCGTACCTACCCAGATACCTTAGACATCTTATCTGTTATTTCTCGCTGTCCGCCTAGGTTTCCTTCACTTGAGTTGCCAACCAGTCCTGTATTCGCTTCAGCGCGCACACTAAAAGCTGGTCCTCTGGCAAATAGCATTACACGCTTCGTGGCGCGTGCGGGGGGCCGTTAGCCCGATTGTGCCACCACTGACACGGCCTATGACAGACATCCGTCTCCCCCTTTGTACGCCTAATCAGGCAACACACATGACCAACCGAGCCAGTACGGCGGCCACGATACTACCACGATACCACGCGCAACGGGGGGCAATAGGGGGGAGCTTGACTGACTGGTGGGCGGCCCAAGCTTGAAGTCCATAGAGATGATCAGTCATGTATGCGCGGATAAGAGAACGGTGCCTGGTCAGCTGCCGAGGCTTGGGGAGCCTTCAAGCGTCAGCATTTCGTGGGTTCTGTCGGCCATTGTTCCCAACCTGATTGTTCGCCGCAAGGGGGTCCGGGGGGAAGGAGGGGTAAGACGATGGGTCCTGTCAGCAAGATAAAGAAGGGGCGTGCTGGTACTTCATCCGCTCTGCCACGCCTCAAGTTCAACGCGGAAACCATTTTTTTCTCCTTCATCATCTTCGTGTTCCTCTGACCACTCACCTGGATATTCATACGGCCAGAAAGTATACAATGGCGACGCATGATTCTCCCATCGTGCTCGTGACGGGCGTCAACGGCCACATTGGCTCGACCGCAACCGCCGCCTTCATCGCCGCCGGCTACCGCGTCAGGGGCACCGTCCGGTCTCTCGAGAAGCATCAGGCCACTCTCTCCGAAGCTTTCCAATCTCATATCGACGCTGGCCTGCTGCAAGTCATTGGCATTCCCGACTTCAACGCCGATGGTGCCTTTGATGACGCGGTAAAGGGCGTCCATGCCATCGCCCACACGTCTCCCCCGGGCCTTCGCTTCGACGAATACGTCGGCGGACCCAAAGCCATCATCGAGCGCGCCAGAAGGAGCACCCAAAACCTCCTCTCATCTGCCGAGGCCCACGCGGGCGCCACCCTCAAATCGGTGGTTCTCGTCTCGTCCCTCGCCGCCATGATGCGCCTTCAAGACGAGCCGGGCTACCGCTACACCGGCGACGAGTTCAACACCGAATACATTGACCTCTCGCTGCAGGCTGGCGACGAGGCCGGCCTCGGCCTGCTGTACGGGGCGGTCAAGGTCGCCGAGGAGCAGGCGTTCTGGGACCATCTCAGCGATCCCCAGCGCAAGTCGACCTTTACAGGAGCGGTGGTCAGCCCCTCCTTTGTGGCCGGTCCGATCCTCGTGAGGCCTGGGGAGCCGGACAGCATGACACCCAGCATGAAGACGGTGTGGTATATCTACGCGGGCGCCGTGTGGCCTGACGAGTTCCCCATGCCGACCTGGGTCGACGTGCGGGACGTCGCGAAAGCGATTGTCTTTGGCGTGCAGGAGCCAGAGAAGGCCAAGGGACGGAGGTTCCTGCTGGCCGCCTACCGGGTCGGGCGTCAGGCTTTTGCGGACGTTCTGCGAGAGAAAATCCCCGAGCGGAAGGATGTCATCCGGGAGGGAACGCCGGGAAAGGGTTACCCTGCCGACTATGTGACATGGGGAGCCGAGGAGGTGGGCATGGATGGCAGCCGATTGACTGAGCTCAGTGGGCAGGGATATCTTCCGTTTGAGGAGTGTGCGGTGGGCACTGCGAAGTCTTTCGATCCGTACCTTGCGGAGGGCAAGGAGAAGCGGTACACGGAGGAAGTGCCGGTCCTTTTCCAGTGAGTGTGCTCGGTGCTACAACAGGTGCAGATAGCAGCGTTGGCAGTCGGTACGCTTTAGATAAATGTGGTCTTGTTGAACTACGTCTTGCATTCATCTTGTCTTTTACGGAAAACTGACGCATATCTGGCCTCATTGACGGTAGTAGTCGAGTCCAGGCTCTCCTGCCCTGGCTACAACACATGTAGGTCCCTGGGCAGGTACCCACGATGACAACCGCCTGCTTCCTTCTCCAAAAGCTGCGAGACCATGGCTCCGATTCCAGAAATCGGGACGATTCATTCAAAATTCCTTCAACCCCACAAGCCGTGAATCCCTCCATCTCACGTCATCATGGCCCTTGCCCTCGTCTGAAGCAACGCACATAGATACGTACGTCAGAGCTACGAGAATTTCCAGAGCACATCAAGAAGCCATCTCATCTCACATTCCAAAACGGCAGACATGTTCAACGACGTCTCACTCCGATACATGCCGGCGCTCTTCGCAACCTGGCCGTGGGTCTCGGCGGCGCCTGGTCCCTCGTCAACCCGCGCACCAGCCTCATCCACTTCGGCTTCCCCGCCCGCAAAGCCGATCGTCCCGAGACGTGGCCCGTCGCCCGTGTCGGCCACGCCCGCACCATGAGCCTCGGCCTTATCATGGCGCTCTTCTACGCGCGTGGCCAGTACGACGTTGTCGAAACCATCATGGAGTTCATGGCTGGCTCACTGGCTCTTGTTGACGGTTGTGTCGTGTGGAACGAGGGCTTCCATTCGTGGGCCGTCTTTCGGTTCGTGGGTGCCGGCGCCTTTTCTGCTCTGGGGTTTGCCGGCTTGACGCAGGGTCCTGTCCGCTAGGAAATAGGTGATGGACAGGTTTCGATCAAATGCAATGTCCATGCTCACTCAAATAAGGCTCTCCTTTTTTCGTTCGTTCCAATCCTCTTGCTTAACGTGTTGCAAAGCGTAGCCATTCAAAACCCCGGCTCCAAGGGCGGATCCTGTGGCTGTCTACCCGGGTATTGTTCAAAGGATCGACAAGTGTAGACAACCAGGATGGAGGCTCTCAAAGCCCATTCATCGCACGACGACGCAGGATGCACTGCCACGCCGAAGTTCAAGCACTGCGAGCCAGTGCATCGCGGGCGCCAGGGGTCTTCCCTCACGGCGGCCTGTGGTGGGGTGGTTTCATCCCTGAATAGCGGATAGAGCGGCGCTTACGACGTCATTTCTATATAGGCCCTTTCCAACCCCTGGAATTCGCCCCATGGCTACAGAGCCCGATCCTGTAGATCCCTCTCTCTGTTGTCTCAAAGGGAAAGGCAGTGAAAGAAAACGACGAGCCAGAGGTTGAGTCCGTTTGTCTCTTCTTCATATTGCGACGCCATCCCGCCAGTATTTCGGTCAGCGCGATACGACCGACACGTCCTCCCCTTCACACAACAATGGCACCACAATGCAGTAACACGACGATAGAGGGCCCCGTGCCCAGCGACGCGGGTGTCGCGGGCACAGGTGTAAGTCAAACGCCGCGACACGGCAACGCTCAATGCGACTGACAAGCCACAATCAGGTTCTCCTGTCCTTCTTCTTCACAGCCATCCTTGCATTGGGCCTCAGTCTCACAATCATCCTCTCCGAATTCAGAAACAAAACCTCGAGCATTCGACGGCGGCTTCTCAGCAGTTACTCCGATCAGCAGATTCTGCAGGGCATCGGCATCCATGCAGTCGGCCTCGCCAAGCGGGACACGATGCTGCCCTACCACTTTTTTATCATCTGGTGCCTCGGTCTTCTCTCGCAGGCCGTTCACAATGCGACGCTGCTGTCTCTGGTCCACGACTTTCGCCGCGACTGGGTCCTGCGCTGGTTGCGACAATTGCTCATGTTCGTCAATCTCGGCCTCTCCGTCGTCTACGGCGTGTTCATCCTGCGCGCCGTCGAGACAGGCCTCGCCGACGACCCCATCCCAATCTCGTGCGTGTGGGAGACGAACAGCGGCAACGGCTCGTCGAACCGTAGCGGCCTCAGCTATTTTGGCACCATTGCCGTCATGGCCGCTAACGTCCTCGTATTCGCCCTAGCGAGCTGGTACCTGCATTGCGGATCCAGCGCTTCGCAAAATCGTCAAGCTTATGGGCCACGTGCTCCATGGCGCCCTGGCGCCGGCGCATTGTTCGGTGCGGTGCTGGCGTCCGACGCTCTCGGCCACGGGCCGAGCTTTGAGCTGGCGCCCGGTGAGGAGGCCTGGAGCTTCGGTCAGGTGCTCTCCGTCCTCGTGCTGCTCTTCCCTCTGGTGTCCATGGTTGAGATCCTTCGGGGCGAGCTGAGGGTGGCGCCGTGCGATCTGTCTGATGGCCAGGCATGTGCCCCCAGCGACATGGAGATGAACAAGTTTCAGCCGAACCCGTTCTGGGGCTCACAAACGCATTTGGTGAGGAAGTGAGGGGAGGGGTCAGAGCAGGACAGGTATGGAAAGTGGGTGAGGGAAACCATGTAGGATATAAATGATACCCATGTAGTCGGCCTTCTCGTAGGCATCAATCAATCATTGATTCCAGTCCATTCGTACGACGCGTGTGAAGGGGGCGGGATCCTGTTGGACGACTCGTGCTCGACTTCGTCAGGGTGAAGCCATGAATGACCCCTAGCGCGGTCTGGCCCACGGAACCCCTTGCCTCATTGATGTGGCGCTTCTACTGTTCTGCTGGCTAGTACAGCAGCAGGTAGTGACCAGTCGCTGGAATGAAGCCTAACGAATGCACATTTCTGGCCTCCCAGCTAACCTTTGCCCTCCCAAGCCCTCCTCCCCCTTCAAGGGAGCAACGACGAAGGCGGCAGCCAGAACAACGTGAGCTGTCCCGCCACTCCCGTCCCTGGGTCAGCAGCGGCCAAATGTGCAGCCAATAAGCTGTCTGTTGTCTCACTTCTCTGATGATGAACGCACATCGCCCCTGTCCACGTCAAACATTCGTGCATCTCGCGCCTCTCAGTACTGGGCACGGCTGCGGCAGGTTGATGTCCGGACCAAACGACGCCAGGGACAACTATGAAGCCACTGGTATGGCAAAATTCTTGGCTCATACATGGAAAAACCAATGTGCCTCATGTCTGCCGCCATGCTACAGGGCTCGAGTGGGAGAGAACCAGCAAGCTCCCACCTCCGCCCCGCTCGCGAAGGCGCAACAACCAGATGTTGGCAGGTTCGCTTCGTGAGGGACGGGACCCCTTCCTAAGCATTCCAGTGCCTCTCCACCCGGAGCACATGTTACGATCACCAGTCGTTCCTTTCCTCACAGGTCTCTCGCAGCGAGTCGACCCCCCCGCCGACCATGTTCATACATTGGTCTTCCTTCGGCAAGGCGAGTGCCGTTTGAGGTGTGGACTCTGTAGCCGCGACACGTTCCTTGGGCAGGGTCCCCACCAAGACCAAGCAAGTAAGTCTTTGGTCCTTGGGGGAAGGGGGCATGGGAAGGGTTGACGGCCTCTGCCTGCCCGTCGAGGAGAGATATGTGCCACCACCTCCCGCGGTCAAGGAATTGATTAGATGCGATCGTCCGTCGTCGCCCACTTCATCCATTTGACTGTCGTTTGTCTTCTCCCCTCTTCCTATCCGGCCTTTACTTTGGCGTCCATCCTTCACATACACACACGCACACAGACCGACCTGTCCACAGCCATAGTCGAGCTGGTCGACAACATCGACCGCTCTCTCATGCTCCATTGAGATTTTCTTTTTACATTCTTTGCCTTACTTCGTGCGATCTTCGGGACGCAGCCTCCTTTTCTTGGTACCAGGCAACGAACTGTTCCTTTCGCCGCCGATCCCCGGGTTTGAAAGGCAGCGCCGGCCAAGATGAAGCTCAAGTCGCAAAGCCAGACGGAGGTGCGAGCCGTCTTCGTTTTCGCCATTGTCACCTGCATCTTCATGATCTACACATTCACACGCCGGCCAATCGACGGCATCCCGACCAAGGCGTCCTGGGGTTGGAAAACGTGAGTTGAAAGGACCCTCGCCCGGCATTTTGCTATTCTGATGCTTTCTCCCCGACATGTCTTTCTAACTCGAATCAGCGCCGACCCGTTTCCCGACCCCTCCCTCCCACGCCTCTCCTTCCGCGATATTGCCCTGCAATACGGCTCCCACAAGGCCACGACGACAAAGCACCATTTTATGTACGAGAAGTATCTTCCCGCCATCCGAGACCGCCACGTCAAAGTCCTCGAAATCGGACTCGGCTGCGAGACGTACCACTCCGTCCCGGACAACTCGCCCTACCCTCTCGCCAAGGTGGGCGCCAGCTACCGCACCTTCACCTCCTACTTTCCCCATCTCTCCCTCACCTATCTCGAGATCGATGAGACATGCGCAAAGGAGTTTGCCACGTATAACGACAAGGCCGCCATCTTCATCGGTGACCAGGGCGACCAGGCTTTCCTCGACAAGTTCGTCGAGCAAGCCACTGTACATGGCCTCTTTGACATCGTCATTGACGACGGCGCCGGCACCGACGACATACAAGAGCGTACCCTGCGCGACCTCTGGCGTATCGTCAGCCCCGGCGGCGTCTACTTTGTCGAGGGCGTCCGTCGCAAGTCTGACCGCACGCACCGCTCTGAAGGCCAGCGACCGTTTGGCGACTTTGTCGACGAGCTTCTCTGGGAAGACGCCATGTTGCCGGAGGGTGAGATTAGGAGCATTGATTGCATGGAGGGTATTTGTGCCTTCTTCAAAAAGGACGCTGGCATGATTTAGCTCGGAAGATGGTTGATATTCGCTCTTGTCCTCTTTTTCTTTTAGTTTTTTTACAACATCTTTGCGAAAAACGGAGTTTGGAGTCGTTTTTCTTCATGGTCTAGTGGAGCATGTCCTGAGGCCTCATATATGAACTGCCATTCATTCCTAGATATCATGGCAGAGTGGATGCCACGAGAGGAGTCTAATACATTACTCGGCGTGCCTGCCATGACTTTGAATTTTACCAGGTGCTTGATCATGAGATCTTCTGCTCAGCGAAACCTAGTCGCGTTGTGATGACATGGGAAGCCTGGTGTCTTGCGTAGGTATCTTTCACATCTGAACATAATGAATAGTATTTCAATTGCAGGACCCGACGCCTTTCGCTTCTCTCATGATCCCCTCCAACACCGGAACGCCTTGATTCATAATACAAAGGACGCGTACGCCATGAACTCACTCATGTTTCACCCGTCGAGTTCTTTCCGTCCCTCTCAATCCACGTTGCCAAAAATGATGTTTCGTTTGTCGTGAGCGTTGATTAGCGTGTATTCGGCCAGGATGGGGTCTTTGCCACCAGCGAGATTCAACGTGACGGCGAGCAGGTTCGGCTCGGTCCAGGTCGGGCGCAAACCGCGGGCTTCGAGACGTTCCCACCAGTCCAGGTAGTTCTTCGAGGTGAAGCCATTGAAGAAGTGAATCTCGACCATCAGCTGGCCGATGGGCAGCTCGAGTCCCTGGGCCAGGGGAAAGTCGTCGCTGAGGCCGTCCATGGCCTCAAACTCGGCGAATTCAATGTCCATCTTCAGGATATCACTTGGTGCAAGGGTAAGCAGAGTTCGGACTAGTCTCGCAAGTTGAGAACAGGGCGTTTTCACTTACATGTACTCGTGATTGTTCATCTTCATAAGCTCCGCAATGCTGTAGAACGGGGGGCTCTTCGTCTTGTCTGTCTTGCCCGCAATGCCAGCTTGAAGGAAGTGGGCGCGATCGCGGTTCCAGGTCTCAAGCTGCTCGCCAAAGTCGACAACCGAGAAGTCGTATGCCCAAACGGTGCAGTTTGTTCGGCTCAACATTTCGTTCTCTGCGCAGATGTATCAGCATTCAGTCGAGCCGGATGACGCTTTTCATCCACAATCACCCACCAAAGCTTGACTCGTCCCGAACACCAAAGGAGTAAATGATACACTGCCTGTCGGCCGGGAAGTCAACATATCTTGACATGCCGCACACCCACTTGCCGCCATCGCCCATGCGGCCGACACGCTCGATCTCGTGGGGGCAGCCGTACGATGCCGGCGTAAAGTCCCAGATGGTGTAAGGATGCGTGTGATAGGACGCACGAGTCGGTCGAAGGGAAGCTGTTGCGTGGGAAAGCCCCGT